TTGCAGTTGTTCATGGGCGGCGGTAGTCACTTACCATCAGGTGAGCCGCATGCACGTTTGCCCCCTCTCCTATAAAAAAAATATCGTCTATGAAATAAAGCAAATATGTGGAAGGTCTCAAATATGTAAAAGCATTATATTGAAAGAAATGGGACTTGAAAAGGATTATTATAGTGGCGTTGAGGTGAGCGGTAGACTCATGACACGCTCTGCGGCCAATTGGCCGTGCTGACCATGCAATTAGTGGTGATGCCTTACACTTACATCACATCTGCAGGAACGGCGGTCGCGCAGGTGGTGGTGCTCACGGAGGGCTTTTTATGGCCAGTGTGTCTATTGTTGCCCTAACCCGTGTGACGTACATTCACTGTGGCTGGATTTGATTCGACTTCGGTCAATGTTTGTGCTTACGCACTATCAAGGGGCCAAGTCCTCTTTTACTGGTTCGCCAGTTATTTTGCTGTGGACTACGGTCCAGTTCCCAACTTAGCGTACCCTTCGGGGGAGCGCATTAAAATGGTTGGCGCTCACCGTGCGCGGCGTGTGCGGAGCCGTGTACCTCCTCCACATTTTTTTTAAATATGGGAGAGCGAAGCCCTTGTAACTGGTATTTGATATAAATATTGTGTGCCTTTTCCAAGCGGGAAGGGATTAATTAATAAGCAATTGACTGTTGTGAACCAGATACAAGTGGAATAGGGACAATTTATTGTTCTTAACTTTTTTGAGCTCTGTCTTCGTGAACGGGGTTCTTTAGCTTATAAGACGCTACCAACAGCTTTCGACTGCTCTCTTGAATATTCATTCTTCCAAGATACACCTAAAAGAACTAAGTTACTATACAAACACAACGTAAATATGGGACCTAACTAAGACGATCACACCATAAATTTATTAAACGGCCTATATTTAAACCTTTAGAAAGATCAAAATATACTGGTCACTTAAATTAGATATATTTATATATCTTATAGATATAGATTCTACAGAAATACAAGTATAAGTAGATATATAGAAGAAAAGAGGGGGGGGGGGGGGTTCGTTACAATGGTTTGTAGTTGCTGACAATAGATATATGCCGTAATCGTTTGACCAGATTTTAAAAAGCTGTAGTGAACGACACCGGCGCTAGTCCACCAAACACTCACAAGTAACTTTTTCTGAGTCAATTTTATTTTAGAGCAAGATTTGGCTGGGTCTCCAGGGTTCAGCCATTGCGACGAGCGCTTCCGATTATCGTACAGTATCCACTTTTCATCACAAGTAATGATTCGATTTAAAATCCCTTCATTATTGTGTCGGTTGAGCAAAGTAACACAGCAGTCGACGCGTGTGTGCAAGTTCGATTCACTCAATTCATGAGGTACCCATCGTTCAAGTTTTTTTTACTTTACCGATTTGCTTCAAGTGGATTAATACAGTTTTTTCACTTACCCCGAAGCCTACAGCTATCTCTGAAGTGCACAATAGCCTTCAATTCTTCACTTTCCACTTTGGTCTCCGGCCGTCCACGGGGTTAGTTCTGAAGGTCGAAATTTCCAGAACAAAAACGTTGAAACCAAAAACATACCGTGCTTTCTTTTGCGACACCAACGCCGTACACATCATTAGAGCTGTATCTGCAGCACTGGTGCCACGGTAGAACTCGTAATCGTAAATATACCGTTATTTCATGTTTTCCGTTGTGCGGTAATAAGCGACGCTAAAGAAAAAAATAATGAGGAAAAAACAAATGAATGACTGTTTTCAAAACTCAATTTTTTTTTTTAAAGAAAACGTTACCCCCACACTAGGATTTTCTCCTGTATCGTGGAGGCAGTTTACAAACACAAATTGCACAAGGACAAACATCCAGACCCGGAACAATTATTTGTAGGCCATACAAATACTTATTCCGTGCGGGATTCGAACCCGCAGCCCCCGGCGCGGCAGCTCATTGCTAAGCCACCGCGTCACGGAGCCGTCAAAATTGTACCAGCTAAATGAATTTATAAATTTGAATTTGGAATTCTTAACCAAAGAAGAGATATTTCAGATCAAAGTGGTCAGTACGACAAAACGCTAGTTTCATATATTATAAGGACCTAATATTAAGTAAAGGACATTCAATCGAGTACATAATATCATATCAATTCTATCTATGATAACAGAGTTCACAGAGTATAAATATTAATTGTCATTTCATGTTACGTTATCACACTTGGACAAATTATTATATCTACTAATTTGGCCAAGATCACACTAATGTATTTTAGTATTGGAATCAATGTCCGCGTGCCCTTGGGTTGGAAAGTACACATTAGGTATATCGGTATGAAATCAGGTAAAGCCGTTAAATAATCTTCGGCGATATCCTATCACGTATGTATGTACATATAAAATTTACTTTGAAAAAAAGAAAGCACCAACTTCAAACAACTAAAAAGAATAAAATATTTTCACTATTCAACAGTTTCTCAAGTCGGGTTTTTAATTTCTGTATACACCACAGCGCAAGACTTCAAGATACTGTAAGCTCATTCTGCGTAGATCGGACTAAAAATTAATATTCAAAAAGCGGCCAAGTGCGAGTCGGACTCGCCCATGAAGAGTTCCGTAACAGCAAGTAACATAATTTACGATTTATGACCTATTAAAAAAAAACTACTCTAGATCTAGTAGATCTCGTCGAAACCAATTTTCGGTGGAAGTTCACATGGTAATGTACATCATGTATTTTTTTTAGTTTTATCATTCTCTTATTTTAGAGGTTACGGGGGGGGGGGGTGTACACTTCCAAAGTGGTAAAATGTGTGTCCCTCCCCCCCGGAGGGACACACATTTTACCACTTTGGAAGTGTCTCTCGCGCAAACTATTCAGTTTAGAAAAAAATGATATAAGAAACCTCAATATCATTTTTGAAGATCTATCTATAGATACCCCACACGTATGGGATTGATGAAAAAAAATTTTTGAGTTTCAGTTCTAAGTATGGGGAACCCCCAAATTTTTTTGTTTTTTTTTTCTATTTTTGTGTGAAAATTTTAATGCGGTTCACAGAATACATCTACTTACCAAGTTCTTATAGTTTCGGAAAAAAGTGGGTGTGACATTCGGAGGGACAGACAGACAGACATGACGAATCCATAAGGGTTCCGTTTTTTGCCATTTGGCTACGGAACTCTAAAAACTAAAGGTAGCCGGGCTAACTATGACATCGGGACGTCAAATACCTCAGTCCCCGCCGTGACCATGGGTACTGTAAAGTACCCGAAACGTCGGGAATTAAAAAGTTAAATAAATGCGATAATATCCGTAAAAATTATTTTCATTTAATATGTTAAAAATAGTAGAACATACCTTGCGCTTTCGCTTAAAAAGGCATTCAATAATTAGCTAAGATCCGCGTAATAAAATGAAACAATGTGTCTTCTTACCTCCTGGACTTACTTACCTGAGGGAGAGCGGGAGGTGCTCTTCTAACTAGTATTACAGGAGTTGCAGAAAGGAATAATAAATACGCCTGATTGTCAGTTGTTTCCTTTACTAATTTTACAGCACGAAAAGTCCCTCAATCATTATTGCAATCGTTTAAATAATAACACACAATGGTTGTAGCTTGGATAGGTAGTAAGGGCTACCTATCCAAACTGAACCTAGCAACAGTTCGAATGTGTAAGAATTATACAATCCAAATACTTTTATAATATGAACATAAGTAAACCACTGTTATAAATATTACTGATAAGTCAATTAATTACAATTGTTTAGCAAACGAAAATACTTATATAATATTCTTTACAAATCTCACAAATTCTAAATTAAAATAACTGAGAAAATTATCTATGATAATTATTATTACAATACAATGACTTATAATCTATTTTATATTTGTAATTAAAAATAATATTATAAAACAAAACGATAATTACACAATTATTATTTAAATGACTCTTAATAGGAATTATTTAACAATCACTGATAACACTAGGTAAGACACATCATTTTACTTTATTACAGCGGATCTTATCCAATAACCTTTTAACATTTTTGATATACTTAATGGATTTTCGCAAGGTAGGTAATTGATTCAATTAATAACTCGCGGGGAATAACAAATAGTTGTTCCCCGCGATTTCGCCCGCGTTTTATTTGGGGTTTTAATTTTTTTGCGCAGAACCCTAATTCTTTATCTAAAATAAAAGTAGCCTAAGTTACTCCTTGTGATATCAGCTATCTGCCAGTGAAAATCCCGTCTAAATCGGTCCAGCCGTTTTGGAGATTAGCCGGAACAAACAGACAGACAGACAGACAGACAGATAGACAAAAACTTTAAAATTTGTATTTCATATGCATTTAGTAAAAAACTGTAATTTTGACATTACAAACAGACACTTAAATTTTATTTATTTGTAAAGATATTGCATTACTTATTCTATAAAAACGCGTTTAGAATTATAAACAAACAACACACTAACGGCCGGTCTCAATTCCCTACAATCAGTTATAAGTAGATAGCTAACCAAGGTAAACAGTTAAGTTTAAACTATCTGTTACTGTCGTCTCAATATCGTAATGTTCGAAAGCTTACTAGAGATAAAAGGCAGATAGTTCATGATAACTTTGGTTAATGCGTCCCTCCTAAGCGTTTTGTTTTTGCTTCGAAGTGAATTGCGTCGCGTTCTACAAGAAAATATAATGATGTATTTAAAATATTATGATAAATATATAATGTTTTTAATTATTTTTGTTATTATTTCTTAATATAATATTGGCAATTATCCTTTATACACATTTTTAAATTAAGGCTTTCTTCAAATAATGATAAACTTTTATATTAAAATACGAGGAAACGATACGAAGCAACAAAACACAGCGCTTGGCGTTGCTTGACTTGACAATTGACGTTGACAGTTTGTGTACACCACCACAACCAAACCTCAAGAAGCTCAGCAGAAATATACTACACATAATATAATTGTTTATGTGTAGCATTAATTTATTAGCGATAAACATTAACATGGCTCAACAAAATACTGTAAGTATTGTGAACTCTTTGCCGTGATATATAAATTTACAGTAATGTTACAAAAGCTTGAGTCTTTGTCTCAAAGTCGCGCCAAAAATGTAAGACACCTGTAAAATTTTGTTTCAGATGAAGACAAGGGCCCTTGGTAAGGACGAAATACTCTTTCTGCTTGACTTGATTTCCAAGCAAAAAGTAATTACTACTAAAGCTACGAATGCCACAAATAATAAATTAAAGGAAGAGGCTTGGAAATCTATAGCGCAGGAGTTTAGTGCGATGGCGGGAGAATTGCGGCGTCCTGAGCAACTACGCTTAAAGTGGGAAAACTTAAAGAAGTCGTCAAGAAAACGCAATGCATTGATAAGACAAAATAATTTAAAGGTTTGTAATAAGTACATACATTAAATATTTTGTGACATTTTGTTAGATATACCTAATCATCTTAGAATTTTTTTTTAATGTAATATTTCTATTGAAACATTTTTATTTGCAGACTGGAGGTGGAAAGATGTACATCCCTCCCGATGAAGCACTAGATCGTGTAACATCTATGTTAGGTGCAACATGCACGGGGTTCACTGTGGAATTTGGTGGTGATGGGGAAAGTGAAATGATTCCACCAGATGCAGTGGTGGAACTCATGGACTTACAACCTTTACCGGAGCATTCAGAAGCTGTAACTAGTGATTTGGTGATGGGAGATGGTGGTAGTGCTGAGTGTGGTGGTAATAGTGAGAAAATTTTCACACCAAAAAGATTTACTTTTAATAATCCTTACAAACCCTGTAAGTTGTAGCTGTAATATTTAACCTCAGTTGTTACTAGATAATTTACAATTTTGTACAACCAACTTCAATATAAATTATTAAGAATAACTCAAAAACTATTGGTCAGACCTTGATCAAATTTATATGAGACCACATAAATGAAGCACCAGCTTTTAAATAAAAAAAGAATCATAGAAATCGGTTCACCCAGTAAAAAGTTATGAAGTAACACACATAAAAAAAATATACAGTCGAATTGAGTACTGGCTCCTTTTTAAAGTCCGTAGACAAAACAGACCGCCTCTCTATGGTCTAGTAGTGTGATTGCTTGTTGCAGGTTTTGCTACAACTTTGTGTATTTTTTTCTGGTTAATGAGGAAAATCTAAAGGCTTACCACTCAATTGTCTGACAAATAAGATAAATTGTGAAATAGGCTATAGTAGTTGGTTCTGGGTAATCTCTAATGTAGTTTGGATAGTAGTTGTTACTAATGTTTTTTTATGTCATCTCCTATGCCCGATCTCTGTGGTCATCAGTCATCAATTCTATCAAGCTAGGAGAGTGTAAAATATGAGAATTTAACAATGTTTTTTATTTTCACAGTAAAGAAACGCCAAAAACCCTCTGAAGAACTATTACGGGCTCAGATAAGCAAGGAATTAGCCATGGCTGCTTATTTTGAAGCCAAAACTGAAGTGGTTAAACTTGAAAAAGTTAAACTGCAGCTAGAAATAGAAAAATTAAACAAGTGACTTGTGATTACTATAGTACTAATGTTAAGATTTTGTAAATAGTGATAATAAGGTGTATTTTTTATAAATTATGTAATGTTTTTGTTAAGTTCATTCTAAAATAAAATCTTTTTTATACATTGATTTTTATTTGACATTTATTAAATAAAATATATATTGAAATAAAGCACATTTATTCTAGTATAATTTAACATTATTTACACATTAAAATTCTTATATAATTAAACATAATTTAAACACTAAAATAATTATTAATTAGCTGTTGTCTGACACTGTGATTTTGTTGACCTATCCCTTCAGCATAGGTAATGTCACCTGATTCTTGCGGCATTGCAACTTCTGGATCTACATCTCTAATATTATTTAATCTGCAGATGTTGTGTAATACAGAAGTGGCAATAATAATGGCCTGTGTTGTCTGCATAGCTACACGGATTTTTAAAGAGAGTATTGGAAAGCGCCTTTTCCACACACCAAAACATCTGAAAAGTTACAAAGTATTTTATATTATATTCATGAAATTTAAAAAAAAATATTAATAAAATAATATTTACCTTTCAATAGTATTTCTAGTCTTTATATGTGCTTCATTGTAATGATTCTCTGCAACAGATGTGGGGTTGAGCAGTGGTGTCAAAAGATATGAAGTACAGGGATATGCACTGTCTCCAATAAGCCATCTATTGCCAAACAATCCCTCTTCACATTGCACTGAAAATAAATAACAAAGAAATATTAATCATGTTTATGTGATGACCTATTATTATAATCTTCTAGATAACTAAGTACCTACTTACTTTTTAGCCTAGAGTTGTATAATATAGTAGCATCATGAGCAGACCCAGGCCAACGGGCAACAACATTCATAAATAACAAGTCTGCGTTACAGACTCCTTGGACATTCATTGAAAATATGCCTTTTCTATTTCTGTATTCTTCTCCTATATTTGAATCTGCAAAAATTATGACTGTTATTAGGTATAATCTATATAAATAAATGAATCTATACTTAATAATATTATAATAAAGAATTGTATGCATGTTTGTAGAAGTTGATCCAATTCTGGCCAAACTTGGATTAAGTTCTACGTTTGAGTTTCAGGTCACTAGATGGCCTACGAAAAAGATTCTACCTAGATCTACTTTATATAAATATTTATTTATTTGGTACTACTAACCAGGTGACTGTATGGGAACATGCGTGCAGTCAATTGCGCCAAGAATTCTTGGAAATCCTGCGATTTCATGAAAGGCATTCTGGGTATTGCTTAATGTCTTCACATATTGAGGGTATAAGCCAGCTATAGCCCGAGATACATGATGCACAATTCGGCTGGCTGAAGCTTTCGATACACCAATAAAGTCCGCTACTGATAAAAGCATTGTTCCCAGTGCATAAAATCTCAAGGTCAGCAACAACTGATGTAACGGCGATATTCCATTATTCCTAAAATGTTAAATATAAGTAAAAAAAATCACAATAACTGTCATTCATATTATGTTGGGTGGCATATTTCGACGATACATATAATGTAACCAAATTTTGTTCACAAGTTTCTTTACTCACCTTGAAGAAATTACTTTTAAGGATGGTGTTATTTTCAATAATAACTCATCCACGGACGTTTTATTTAATCTAAATCTATATGTAAATTCAGAGTCAGAAAATTCACTTCTGTAATTTATTCGATTATAAAGTCGGCGATTTTCAGTATCTACAATGCCTTCTGAATCAAAAACACCTATCTCATACATTTCATTATCACTTTCATCACTGAACAAATCCATTTTTTAGATATTAAATAGGTTTTATTTATTTAAAATCACGACAAATATTTGCTAACTCTCAAAATTGGGCGATAGACAAAACTCTAACATCTGGTAATTTGAACTATCGCCAGTTAACTGCCAATACGTTATTGAAACAGTCAGATGTTTTTTTCTATGAACCCACTTAACTCAGGTAGTCGGTAAGTCCTCCGAAGGATAGATCAATGTGATGGTTAAACATTTCTATCTATCTTTGATTATTGAAACGGAAAAATGTAACTATAGATACCAATGGTAGCCATTTTAACTTCCAGTAAGAGATAGATAAGTTATTGAGACCGGCCGTAAGAGACACACATCGGAGCACAGCTGAAACCGGTCGACCTCGTCGCTTCCTGCGTGCCCTATCATTACCGCGTGCGAGAGTGCGAGATATTGCATGGTTTGGATCATTAAACACGTGTGCGACAAAAAATATGGTGATTCACGCCAGTTTAGAACCGAAATTGTGCTAATGTACGGTTTATTATACTTATATATGTATAATGAGAAACGATTGGCGGATAATTTGGATAGTTAAATTATTTATTTTTTTTGTTAGTTAATTGACCGCGTAAAATTTTTATCTTACATTATTTATAACATCTTTTTTTTTAATAGACACAAAATTTATTTATACATATTATAAAGATGATAGAGCTTTTGTTTTTTTTTTATAGAACTAGCGATCCGCCCCGGCTTTACACGGGTGATTTCTGTGACACCTACCGGGTACAATTGAGTTAAGTAAACCATCCAGGGTCCCACTCAAATACACAAAAAACACTCATCAAAATCGGTCGAGGCATTTTCAATTTTTTGCGAGATGAAGGTGATCAGCGTGCACACAGTCCAACTGATGGTATGTAGACAATGTAGTCCATAGAGATCTACATCTATCCTCGATGCAGATTCGACACCCGAGGACTAAGATGAGCCTAGTTACTAGTAAAGTGAAAAGTCTCCGGTTATCTACACTCACCATACGAAACACAGCAGCGTTATTCTGCTGTTTTACGCTGGTACTCTGTGAGAGCTGGTCATGCCCCACCGAGCCGACCCAAACTCCGCGATCTTAGGCACTTTCGATTGACCAATTATACCATCTCAAAGGTCAGAAATTGGTCATAAAACGTAAGTTTTTCTTATTAATTGGTCAGCGTTTATTAAATTTCTCAATTACATCGAAAAACTTTAACCCTTAATAAAACATTCTAATGCTGACCAATTAATAAGACCAACTGACCTTTTATGACCAATTTCTGACCTTTCAGATGGTGTAATTGGTCAGTCGAAATTCCGCACGAGGTGCTATGATCGCGGAGCTGCCGACCCATTCGTATTGTAGCCATATTTTTCTATATTTTTTTAATAATAATTATTACATGGTTTGTATAAAGCTGCATCATACGAGTAGCTCTGTAATGTAATTACACGATTCATTATCATTTCAGCTTACCAAAAGTCCAATGATGAACGTGGCCCTTACCCATAAATTTCCTCGTAGGATTATGGCACGTTTGGCAGGCGCTAATAATTTTTTTAATGTTTTTTAGGAAGATGATGATGCCCATCTCCTGTTTTAATTTCCTTCTATTGAGTCTTCCGACACCCACCATATCACAAGTGTGTGAATATACATAATGTTATTATATCTGTCAGACACGGCCTCGACATGTTATCCGTCCGATAATTTTATTAAATTACTAGCTGTTCCCCGCGACTTCGTTCGCGTGTTAGGGTTTTTATGCTTCTGCGCGGAACCCTGATTCTTTTTCTAAAATAAAAGTAGCCTAAGTTACTCCTTATGAAATCAGCTATCTGCCAGTGAAAGTCCTGTCAAAATCGGTCCAGCCGTTTCGGAGATTACCCGGAACAAACAGACAGACAGACAGACAAAAATTTAAAAAAATGTATTTTAGTTATAAGTATCGTATTTACTTTCATATGCATTTAGTAAAAAACTGTAATTTTGACATTACAAACAGACACTTCAATTTTATTTATTTGTATAGATTCCAGCTTTTATTACACCTGTGTAAAGACAAAAGTATTTGTTAATTGCGTTTAATACTCGTAGGACAATGACCATTGTATTCTACATTTTAATTTGCTGTTACTAAATGAAATTTAAACGCAAGTTTGTAACAAGTCATTCATTGGCTATTGCTTCGCTGATTGGTAGTATTTCTAATGGGACGTAGATACGCAAATGGATCCAAATTATTTTAAAGATTCAACTTACACTTACAAATTTAGTTTTCTATCAAAGTTTAAATAGTAAAAACAAGTCCATCAAAAGCAGTATAGACATAGTATAAATAAATAATTATGAATTAGAAACCAGGAATAAGCAAAACTAAAAACAAACCGAGGTAATTCATTTAATTGTTTAATGATAGATATTAGCTAGACTAGAACAACCGACCACCGATGACGAAAAAAGGTTCACGAGTAGCTTCGTACCGGTAAGCAGAGTATAGGGCGACCCCTCCTTTAACGGCGCAGTGGCGCAGGGGCTTAGCAATGAGTTGCAGCGCTGGGGGCCGCAGATTCGAATCCCGCACGGAACAAGTATTTGTATGGCCTACAAATAATTGTTCCGGGTCTGGATGTTTGTCCTTGTGTAATTTGTGTTTGTAAACTACCTTCACGATACAGAAGAAAATCCTAGTGTGGGGGTAACGTTTTTTAAAAAAATAAGACAAATTATAAGATAAATAAGACCCCCCTAGAAGGAGGGACGTGACAAGACATGCATGGAGGCGGTGGGTGCAAGTGGTTCTGTATCGTAATTTTTGGCATTCCGCGGCCGGTGTGCGACTAGTAATTGTAATTATGGTGATGATTCTCTCCCCTGTTTTTCCAAAGTAAGCTAAAAATCTTAAAAAATATATAATATAAAATATATACTATAAAAATATATACTACATAATATAAGTTTTTGTTCGTGGTAGAGCCATGCTGCAGCTATATTATTAGTATAGTTGTAACACGAATGGATCGGCTCGACCGGGGAAGGACCACGCTCTCACAGAATACTATCGTGAAATGGCAGCTTAACACTCCTGTGTTTCGTATGGTGAGTGTAGAAAACTGGAGACCCTTTTTACTGGAAAAGAGGCATTCCTTCTTAGTCCTCACGGGTGACAACGCATCTGCATTTTGATTCGCAAACGAGGATGGATGTA